TTTAATGTTGTTCCGCCTGGGATCCAAAATCACATTTCATTTTCCCAGAACCTCCTGAGAACAGAACCGGGATTACGGGCCAACATTAAACGGGTTCGGCGCCAGTAGAACCGGGCTTCTTTCACCCGAACCACTGATACTTTTAGTTCGGCTTCGGTTCGGATAACTACCGAACCGAAGCCTGGCTTCGCGTTTTAGCTCAGGTTTCGACTCCAATTCAAACCCACCCGGACTGCTTTGGCCCAGTCAGAACCCGGTTGGTTCCGTTAGAACCCGGTTGGTTCCGTTAGAACCCAGTTAGCAGTAAATTATGAGTTTTTACCTGGTTTCTTTCTTCGCGCTGAATGTCCGCTGCTGTTCGCAAAAACTCCCGAACTGAACCCAGAAGCGTCAAACTGGCGCACGAGGAGGACGGGGCACTTCCGGTTCGGAATTTTCAAAATCAAACCTGCGACGTGTTTTTGTTCCTGCGCTGCTTCTTGTCTGTTGCTCGTCTGAGTGGCTGGTGGAGGACAGCTGGTGTCCCGCTGCTGTCCTCCAGGGACACCGTCCCACCTCCTGCGGTGGTTCCCGGGACTGGTTTGCTCCTCCGCCGGGCCTCCGGTTCTCCAGAATTTTGCTGAAGAACCGTTCTGTTGGTTCTCCTGAGTTGGACCGGACACACATGGACGACAGAGGACTTACGGGACTCGTTCTGTACACCGCTGTCCTTCAGGGACTCAAACAGTAAAGTAATTTCCTGAAGTTAAACAACTTTTACTGGTTTTATTTTGAAATAAACAGGATCGGAAATGCCTGCCCCACTCTTTTGCTCCGGCTTGACGCAGCTGAGAGCCGTTGTCATGGTGACCCCAGGCTGTCAGTGAAGTCGGAAATCCCCGAACCTGCAGGGGAATTCCGGAGCCACGAAGGGAACACGGCCAGCTAATTGGTGGGAGCACAAGGTTAAGTCCCGCCCCCCGACAAAACAACGAGTGGAGAAAACGATCTAAATAAACAGGATTTATGGAGAATTAGTAGCAAAACAAGTAGATTTTTATACTTTTCTCCAGTAATTAAAATTAAACGCTTCACGTTTCAAGACAGTGCTCCAAAGATTTTAATTAAAAAAAACAAATTTGATGGATTTAAAGCTTATTTATTCTGATAACCCTGAATGCTTCAGTTTAAACATGTTGCAGATTTCAAAGGCTACAGTGACGTAACAAAATGAGAGAAAACAGCCGGAAGATGTTTATTTGTGCTTTATTTAACTTTCTGTTCTCACATAAAGCTAAATCAACCTCTGATGTCAGAGCAGCTTGAGTTAAAGCAGACAGACCAGAAAAATCCTCATTTTCATGCAGCAACAACAGACTGACCCAAGCTTTCACCAGGCGCCGACAGGGGGCGCCACCTGCGTTTGCATAGATTATTACAGAGAAACTGAACGTTCAGAAACAGAAGAAATGAACGGAGCCAAAGATCCAGATCAGAAAAATAAAGACTTTCCGACCACAGAGAAACTAAAGCCGAGGGAGAATTTTATAGATGAATAATTTTACACATTAACAGCAGGTTGTGCTTTTACTGCGTCTCTGAGAAAAAATATCTAAATATGAACGAGTTTAATGATCTTTACCAGCTACATTCATTTTAAATCTTCAAAGATTTTATTCGTTTGGTTGTTTACTATCAAATTAAATAATGTATTCAATAACAAATCTGATTAAAATATAAAATATAGAAGTAATAAACATAATTCTACACTCAGTTTCATTTTATAAACATTTTATCCATTAAATTTCAGACTCAGAGCCGGTTCAAGGCAGTGCAATTAAGGTCATATTCAACTGCTGTTATGTGGATTTCTCTCTTATTTCAGAATTTTACATTTCTATTATTTTATGAAACTTTTTAGTTTCTCTATGAAAGATGTGAATGTAATTCGGTTTTATTTTGTAACGGTTTAAACAGATTTTACACATCTGTTCAAAAAACTAAAGAAGTTTACATATTACTTAATATTCCACAATTAAGCACCACTCGTCTTTTCAAAATGCTAATTAGGATGTTGATGTTCAGATGTTAAAAATCAACATCCACAATAATAACAGCATGATGAAAGCCAGTTAGAAATGATGCTAAACGCTACACGTAGCCTAGCAATGATGACGTATCAGGACTTAGTCTGGGGCCCCAAGAGAAGATCTGCTCAGGGCCCCAAAAAGGCTTGGGCTGGCCCTGGAAAATGTGCAAAGTCACTTTGGTAAAGTTGATTATTTCTACAAAACAAAAATAAATCTGTTTTCAGATGATTTTTGAATAACCCTAACCCCACAAAGCAGCAGCAGCTTTTCAGGGCGATCTTTGGTCAAAACACATTTATGATCAGACGGTTCTGGTTCTGGAAAGGTTCAAGAGGTTTTGGATTTGATACTGGTACCAGAACCTGGCCTGAGAGTTTTGGGTTGGTTTGTTGAATCCAAGCAGCAGAATTTAAATCGAAGGAAAGAGAACCGCCTGACCAGAACCAGAATCTTTAACCTGGTCGATAAAGTCATGTAAACGTAAATGAGGTGTATGAAAACATGTGACCAGAACCATGTGGAGGTCCAGTAGAACCAGTCAGTGGTTCTGACCCAGTCCATCTGACAGCAGCAGAACTTTTATTCTGGCAGGAGGCTTTTACTTTGGAAGGAACTTCCTGGTTCCGTCCATCAGAACAACCCGGAGTCAGAGTCAGAGCGTTCCTTGATCCGGTCCGGTCCACATGGTTCTGATCCGTCTGAAGGCCTCGGTGGGCGGCGGCTCTGCGATCCGGTGGGCCGTGAGAAAGAGGAGCGATGAAGCAGCAGGAGCGCCAAGGGAGGCGGGTAGCGTCTGGAACCGGAACCGGAACCAGGACCTTATGTGAAGATCAGCCCAGAGTCACTGTACACCTTGAAGATCTTCTCGATGGCGTTGACGTACGCCGCCGTCCGCAGGTCCAGACCCAGCTGGTACCGGCTGGCTGTCTGCATGATTTGCTGCAGGAAGCAAGACTTTCAGAATAAAAGCTCCAGGCACCAGGGGGCGCTGCGACTCAAATGATGCAGCTGCTCATTTGTGTGTGTGTGTGTGTGTGTGTGTGTGTGTGTGTGTGTTACCCTGGCAGAGCGCTCCATGGTGTAGGCCAGGCCCGAGTGGACGATGTCCTTCTCAGACGCTCCCTGCAACAGAACGGGACAAGTCAGCACTGAGGAAGAGGAGGACGACGAAGATCTTCGTTTCTCCCTGAGGTTCAGGTCTCGGCCAATCAGAGGCGGTTAAGAGCGGGACTCCCCTCTGATTGGCTGTGGTAAAACTGTTCCTGTGTGTGGGCTGCTGACCGAGGCGACTGGTGGTGTGTGTTTAGAGCCGACACACACTTTACCACAGGAAGTGAATACTTTACCCAGGGTGTGAATACTTTACCCCAGGAAGTGAATACTTTACCCCAGGAAGTGAATACTTTACCCAGGGTGTGAATACTTTACCCAGGAAGTGAATACTTTACCCCAGGGTGTGAATACTTTACCACAGGAAGTGAATACTTTACCCAGGGTGTGAATACTTTACCCCAGGAAGTGAATACTTTACCCCAGGAAGTGAATACTTTACCCCAGGGTGTGAATACTTTACCCCAGGAAGTGAATACTTTACCCCAGGAAGTGAATACTTTACCCCAGGGTGTGAATACTTTACCCCAGGAAGTGAATACTTTACCCCAGGGTGTGAATACTTTACCCCAGGAAGTGAATACTTTACCCCAGGAAGTGAATACTTTACCCCAGGGTGTGAATACTTTACCCCAGGAAGTGAATACTTTACCCCAGGAAGTGAATACTTTACCCCAGGGTGTGAATACTTTACCCCAGGAAGTGAATACTTTACCCCAGGAAGTGAATACTTTACCCCAGGGTGTGAATACTTTACCCCAGGGTGTGAATACTTTACCCCAGGGTGTGAATACTTTACCCCAGGAAGTGAATACTTTACCCCAGGGTGTGAATACTTTACCCCAGGAAGTGAATACTTTACCCCAGGGTGTGAATACTTTACCCCAGGGTGTGAATACTTTACCCCAGGGTGTGAATACTTTACTCCAGGAAGTGAATACTTTACCCCAGGAAGTGAATACTTCACTCCAGGGTGTGAATACTTTACCCCAGAAAGTGAATACTTTACCCCAGGAAGTGAATACTTTACCCCAGGGTGTGAATACTTTACCCCAGGAAGTGAATACTTTACCCCAGGGTGTGAATACTTTACCCCAGGAAGTGAATACTTTACCCCAGGAAGTGAATACTTTACCCCAGGAAGTGAATACTTTACCCCAGGGTGTGAATACTTTACCCCAGGAAGTGAATACTTTACCCCAGGAAGTGAATACTTTACCCCAGGGTGTGAATACTTTACCCCAGGAAGTGAATACTTTACCCCAGGAAGTGAATACTTTACCCCAGGGTGTGAATACTTTACCCCAGGGTGTGAATACTTTACCCCAGGAAGTGAATACTTTACCCCAGGGTGTGAATACTTTACCCCAGGAAGTGAATACTTTACCCCAGGGTGTGAATACTTTACCGCAGGAAGTGAATACTTTACCCCAGGAAGTGAATACTTTACCCCAGGAAGTGAATACTTTACCCCAGGGTGTGAATACTTTACCCCAGGAAGTGAATACTTTACCCCAGGGTGTGAATACTTTACCCCAGGAAGTGAATACTTTACCCCAGGAAGTGAATACTTTACCCCAGGAAGGAAGTGAATACTTTACCCCAGGAAGTGAATACTTTACCCAGGGTGTGAATACTTTACCCCAGGAAGTGAATACTTTACCCCAGGGTGTGAATACTTTACCCCAGGAAGTGAATACTTTACCCCAGGAAGTGAATACTTTACCCCAGGAAGTGAATACTTTACCCCAGGGTGTGAATACTTTACCCCAGGAAGTGAATACTTTACCGCAGGAAGTGAATACTTTACCCCAGGAAGTGAATACTTTACCCCAGGGTGTGAATACTTTACCCCAGGAAGTGAATACTTTACCCCAGGAAGTGAATACTTTACCCCAGGAAGTGAATACTTTACCCCAGGAAGTGAATACTTTACCCCAGGGTGTGAATACTTTACCCCAGGGTGTGAATACTTTACCCCAGGAAGTGAATACTTTACCCCAGGAAGTGAATACTTTACCCCAGGAAGTGAATACTTTACCCCAGGAAGTGAATACTTTACCCCAGGAAGTGAATACTTTACCCCAGGGTGTGAATACTTTACCCCAGGAAGTGAATACTTTACCCCAGGAAGTGAATACTTTACCCCAGGAAGTGAATACTTTACCCCAGGGTGTGAATACTTTACCCCAGGGTGTGAATACTTTACCCCAGGGTGTGAATACTTTACCCCAGGAAGTGAATACTTTACCCCAGGGTGTGAATACTTTACCCCAGGGTGTGAATACTTTACCCCAGGGTGTGAATACTTTACCCCAGGGTGTGAATACTTACTGCGATCCGCGCCTGGAACTCTGACGTGGGAACGACTGGAATGGAGCCGTTCAGTTTTCCAAACTTCCTCTCCAGACTCTCCTGGACAGACACTAAGGAGAAACGGGTTGGTCAGAACCAGAACCATCATGACGATGATGATGATGAAGAGCGTGGCGCTGACTCAGCAGGTGGTAGTTCGAATCCCTCTCGTACTTGAAGGTGAGCCGGCCGTAGCTCACATGGTTCAGGTTCTTCAGCCACTCAAAGTACGACACGGTGACGCCCCCCGCATTCAGGTACATGTCCTGGGTACGACACCGCAGCTCAGACCAGAACCAGAACCAGAACAGAACCAGAACCAGAACCAGAAGCCTCGACTGACCGGGATCACCAGCCTGTTCCTCTCCAGGAAGATCCGGTCCGCCTCAGGCGTGGTCGGCCCGTTGGCTCCCTCTGCAATGATCTGTCAGAACCAGAGAGAAACCGGGTCAGAACCAGAGAGAAACCGGGTCAGAACCAGAGAGAAACCGGGTCAGAACCAGAGAAAACAGTCTATTTGTCAAGCTTTGGGGAAATGGACCTCCAGAGTCAGATGGGTTTATCAGAACTCCACCAGAACCTCCAGTGAACCACCGACTAACCAGAACCGGGTCGTTTTAGAACCATTCACTGATAAGATAATCTATTTAGTTATGAAGCTAAACATGTAGCTGCATAACTAAATATTTAGTTATGATCTCAGTTATGAATGTGTGAATAACTTTGTGAAAACATGAACAACTTTTTCTCCATTTCCTGCTAAATAAACCCAAATGCTGCTGTTCATGTTTTACAGTGTAACTGTACAAACTGTTTATGTTTTTAATTATGTTTTATACGGAGATTAAACTGTATTTTCACTTCACAAGCCACAAAGACCCGTCAGAACCAGAACCCGGTCGACGTGGCCCGGTTCTGCTGGTACCTTGGCCTTGATGCGGTGGGCGTTGCGCTGCGTCAGCTGCTTCTCGCTGGCGGCGGGGATCAGGATGTCGCAGTCGGCCTCCAGCAGGCTGCCTTCGTACGGCGTGGAGTCCGGGAACCCCACGATGGTTCCGTTGGCCTGGAGACGGGGAGCAGCGTTAGGGCGCGGCCCTGGACCGGACCGGACCGGGCCGCGGCCCTGGACCGGACCACGGCCCTGGACCGGACCGGGCCGCGGGGGGCGCCGACCCACCAGCTTGTAGTCCTCCAGCTGCTTGGGGTCGATGCCGCGCGGGTTCCAGATGCTGCCGTCCATCTCGGCCACGCCCACACACCTGGCGCCGAAGCGGTGCAGGTAGCGCATGCTGTGGAGGCCCACGTTCCCGAAGCCCTGCGAGAGGACGAGCGGCCGGTCGGATCACAGCGGACACGCCGGACCCCGCCGGGCCGGGCGCTGCCCGTCGTACCTGGATGACGAAGGTCTTGTCCTGGAAGCCCGGCGCCAGCCCGACCCGGTTCATGAAGGACGCGTCGTTGATGAAGTTCTCGATGCCGTGGAAAACGCCGCGGCCCGTCGCAGAGATTCGGCCGTGGATCCCACCCTGGCTGATGGGCTTCCCCGTCACGCAGGCGTGGGCGTTGATGTCCTGAGAAGGATCAGACGGGTCAGAACCAGAGACGGGACAGAACCAGGCGCAGGTGGTTCTGGTTCCGCCCCAGACTCACGTTGTGTCCCATGGTCGTGGCGAAGGTGTCGGCGATCCAGGACATCTCCCGCTCCCCGGTGCTCATGTCCGGAGCCGGAACGTCGATACCGGGCCCTGTAGAACCACCAGAGGGTCAGAACCAGCCGGGTCCAACAGAACCACAGACCCTGGCTGTGAGGTGGGCGGGGCTTATGAACAAAGTTTCCTCACCGATGAATCCCTTCTTGGCGAGCTCGAGGGTGAACCGCCTGGTGATTTTCTCCAGCTCAGAGTCCTGGATCAGAGATTGGAGCAGAGGAAGGTTCTGAATGGTTCTGGTCCAGACGAACCCGTCCAGAACCTTGATTAAGACATCCTGTTAGTCTGTAATAACTGTTCATTTATTTAGTAGCGATTAAATCAATTACGCTAATATTTGAGAAATAATGAAATTCCTTTTTTGAAGAATTAAAATGTTTTGAGCCTTAAATGCAGAAAAATTCTAAAATCTGCTCCACGGATATGAAGATAAAACTAGAAATGTTTTTAAATTAAATCGAAAATGTCTGTTGTTCAGTTTTGGGTTCATTTCCAATCGACCACTGATCAATCGGTCGATTGATTTTAATCTCTGACTCAGCTCTGCTGCAGCGCCCCCTGCTGCTCCACTGAACCGTTCTGGTGGGTTTGTTCAGCGTCTCCACAGTGGAACCGGTTGGACTGGACCAGAACCAGGCTGTTCTGACCCGCCCTGATCCAGACACGCCTTTGTTTTGCTTGAGGGCGACCCGGTTCTGTTCTGGTTCTGATCAGTAAAACCGAAACATCTGGATAAACCATGTTATTAAAACCAGAGTTGACTAAAATTACAGCTAAAAATGTATCCTGATTACAAATCAATAATCAAAGCCCAGTTGTGTTTCTGGTCCAGAACCAACTCAGAACCGGTCTGTAACGTCTGCTTGACTGAAAACACCAGAACGTGAACGGTACCGGCCCGGTTCTGTCACTTGGATCCGCTCACCGTGTAGTTCTTGGTGTTGATCTTCACTCCAGCTTTGGCTCCACCAAACGGAACGTCTGGAACAGTAGGCGGTTCTGTTAGGCCGGTTCAGGTCCGGTGTGTGTGTGTGTGTGTGTGTGTGTGTGTGTGTGTGTGTGTGTGGTGTGTGTGTGTGTGTGTGTGTGTGTGTGGTACCGACCCACGATAGCACACTTGTAGGTCATCAGGAGGCGAGAGCCTTGACCTCGTCCACCGACACCTCGGTGCTGTACCGGATCCCTGAAACAGAACCAGAACCGAGTTCTACTGGAACCAGAGCCAGATTGTGTGACCTTTGACCTGCTGGTTCCAGACTCTGTCACGGCTGACCCGGTACCTTTAGGCTGAACGGTACCAGTCTACAGGTACTTGTTCTGATTGGTCTGTTTGGGTTTTAATACACAGGACTCAGAACCAGAACCAGGCCAGACTGGATCGGACCGGGTGGTTCTGCTGGTCCTTCCTGGTTTGTTCATTTATTCTTTCATTTGACTGGTGAAAAATAACCCTAACCCATAAAACAATGAAATGCAACAATAACAATAAACCCGATCATATAGAATTATGTTTATATTTAAAACAAATGTTTCAGGATGGACTGAACCAGAAGAAGGGATTTTTTATCGAACCCGAACCCGAACCCTGAACCCTGAACCCGAACCCTGAACCCTGAACCCTGAACCCCGAACCCTGAACCCTGAACCCCGATCATCATTAACATTAATATTTATCTTCCTCCTCCTGCAGCAGGTACCGGCTGCCCTCAGCTGTGTCTGCTCTACATGCTGACTCGGTTTCGGCTCTACGTGCTGACTCGGTTCGGTTCGGCTCTCACCTCCCTTGCAGGGCGTCCGGTGCTGGCTGTGCTGAGCCCGGTAGCCCTCGATCACCTCCCACTCGCCGCTGTCCCTCCGGATCGGGAAGCAGACGCTCAGGACGTGGTTACACGGCTTGATGATCCGCAGGATCCCGCTGACTCTCTTCCGCTTCTGCTCCGGGGTCTCCCGGGTTCTCAAGTCCTCCACCAGCTTGTCCTCCCACGATCGCGGCTCCGCGGTCGAAGAAGCCCTCCACCATGGTGAAAAAGTTGGGGTCGTCGCCCCGCTCCGCGGCCTGGCTGTAGCCGCGGGGCCGCAGCAGCGAGGCAGACGCCGGCAGCGCCGAGTCGGCGGCGGAGGCCAGGAGACCACCCGCTCCCCGGGTCAGCAGTTCTCCCAGGCTCCGGTTTTGCGGGTGAGCTGGTGGAAGGAGGTCCAGGAAATGGAGCCGCCGAAGCGGAGAGTCTGTCCCGGCCGCGGCGGCTCCTCCAGTCGCCGCCCTTTCCTGTCAGCAGCCTGCGCGTGCCAAACAAACTGAAGCTGGCACGCGATCATTTAAGGGCGCGCAGGGCGGGAGCTGCTGCGGTTAGCCGTTAGCTTAGCTCAACACAAACAGCAGAAACACAGAAGAAACTGATAATTACGGCTTAACCAGTGAGTTAATCGCACAGACAGAGCAGATATCAGTCTGGTATGAAGGTTTCAATCAAGTTTGACTCCTTTAATTAGGTTTTATTAGCAGCGTAAAATAGTTTAATACTAGCAAGCGTTTAGACAACACGTACTTCCGGGAAAACTTTCAAAACAATGTTCATTTAATAATAAAAGCCAGATGCTGTGTATAACATTTCAAGCTATTGTTAATTTCAACATTTGGTCTTGAAATGATGTTGTTTACAGTCTTTCTGGCAGGTCTATGACTCATTGCCCGGCCTCCTTCAGGATCAACCCAAAAACAACACACTGCACTGAAGTCACATCATGTCCTCAATATTTCCCTGCAGCCAGGCTGGGAGGCCTTCAGGTAAAAACAGGCATTAAAACCTTCACCTGTATGCCCATATGTTGTCTGATCAGGACTGTAAACAGATCAGTAAACCTGTAAAGTATCAACAAGCAGCAACCATGAATTTACTCTTAAGAAAATGACAAACATTCAAACTATTTGCTTAACTTTATTATGTGAAATGTGGCTGATCAGAGAACAGAGAAAAAAAATAAACCGATTTTTTCCAGCTCAAACTATGAGACAGTCAGGCTGATTCAACCTTTAATCTGCTTGAAGAATACGGCAGATTCTTCTTCTTGGCCTCCTTTTCTGCTTTTAGGAACCAGAACAAATGATTGGTCCAGCAGCAAACTGTAACAGCCCGAGTAAAAAGTTTAAACCTAAAAATAAATCCAGGTTAGGAAATAAACTGCTGGGTGACGACCCAGTTTGGTTCTGGTTCTGATTATAGAAGCTGTCTGATCCATTAGACCAGTTGGACTATTTATTATAATTCAGATCAAACTATATTATTTACAATATTCGCTGAATATGATTGGCCTGATTTGTTATGTTCTGTATATCTGGGTATGGACTGGACCTTTAGTCTCCTAAGGTGAACATTTTATGTGATTAATAAATCAATGTAGTTATTTTTATCCTCATGATGGATTATTTTGCTTCATTTTTTATTAATTTTGCCAGCAGAGCAGCATGGTCAGCTCACACTGCCATCTGCTGGTCAGACTGGAAACTGCAGTAGTCCCGGTTCAACAAACTGGACCTCAATGTTCCTCTGATGAACTTGACCTCTTGACCAACCAGAACTAAATAACCTGTTTGGTTTTCTTAACACTGTCCCTTCAGAATAAAAGCATCCAGCCCAACATGTTTGATCTAATGACCTAAATGGTTCTGGTTCTGTTGTCTTCTCAGTGGACATGATGGATCAACAGCCAAAGATCACATCTTCCTCGGTGCTCCTCTCCTCTTCCTTCACCTGGTGAGGAGGAGGAGGAAGAACATTCTGCAGGATGGAGACACCTGGAGCTCACCTGGAGGCGGGGCCGTCTCCGACCCGCTGCAGGTGAGGGGGGTTTATTTCCATTCAGGGATTCAGGAGTTCTTCCTGTGTTCTGTCTGTGTGACCCGACTAGTTCTGGTTTCTGTTCTGGAGCAAAATGAACCAGCCACCGAGTGCGGCGGGTTTTTTGGGTCGAACCCAAACGGATCCTGAATGACGACCCTGTCCTTTCAGATCCTGGGAATGACGATCAGAGGAAGGAGAATCCAACAGAAGTGGAACCGGGTCGAGGCACAGGGTCTGCTAGAGGACGATCCGACGGAGATGGAGGACTGGCGTCTGAAGCCGGAGCTCTGAGGACCGAGGAAGACTCCGATGGTCTGAGGAGGATCTGTGTTCTGCTTCGGTCCGGGAGTATCTGGACCGCTGTTTCCCTCTAGCTCAACCAGAACCAGAACCAGAGCATCAGCCTCCGTCCACCAGGACCCAGTTCCTCAGCACATGGAGTCTCAGCCAGGCCCTGATCCTGAGAGGAAGACTCGCCGTCCAATCAGCAGTCAGCTCCGACGAAGCCCCGCCCATTCCCCCAGCCGGCCCCCACGTGACCCCCCAGCCGACCCCCCGTCCGGCTCCTCCAGCACCCGGAGCTGTTCAGCCCTGCCGCCTCGTCTCCCGGAGGCTCCATGGATCTGTTCAGCCACACCTGTCCGGCCTCCAGGGCAGAGCAAGGTGGGGTCGTAATGGAGGTCACCGCAGACGGCGTCCTCTGCTCTCAGGAGTCCGACCCCCAGGGGTCGCCCGCCTCGCCCCCTGCAGCAAGAAACCACGACCCTCAGAGGAGTCTGCAGCGCCAGAGAGCTCCACCTCCACCACCCGTCTGGACAGGTGTGCCCAGGTGGGACGCAGGTACTCTGTCCTGGTGGTGGTGGTCCACCCAAGCCACCTGAAGGAGGTCCAGGTGAGTCCAGATGTCCAACAGCAGTGGAAACAAGAATGTTCCTCTGAGTTTGGACCAATATCACCGTTTTGGTGAAAATTTAACAACAGCCGTGATTAACTGATCGGGTTCTGATCGGGTTCTGATCGGGTTCTGATCGGGTTTCTGATTCGGGTTCTGATCGTGTTCTGATCGGGATCTGATCATGTTCTGATCCGGTTCTGATCCGTGTCTGGCCGAAGGTGCGGTCGGGTCCGTCAGCAGGAAGCCGTGTTCCTCTGGCCTCCATGGTCGTGACGGACCAATCAGGAGCCGAGATGAAGGTGGTTCTGTGGAGGAGAGCGGCCTTCTGGGTTCTGACCGTGAGTCCTGGAGAGGTTCTGCTCATCACAGGTACACACACTCTGGTACAGACCCGAGAGGCCGGTTCTGGTGTCGGTTTGATCCCAGGTGTGTGTTTGTGTTGTAGGGCTGCAGGTGAGAGAGGACAGGTGGAGAGCAGAGACTGTCCTCCAGTCCACCTTCTCCAGCAAACTGCTGAACCTGGGACACGCCTCCACCTCACTGCCAGGTACGGCAGCAGCCAATCAGCAGCCTCCTTTGCCCAGGTGTAGCTACTCTCTCTCTCCCTCTCTCTCTCTCTCCAGTTAGCCAGCAGGTTAGCGCCCGCGCTCTCCGCTCTCTGTGCGGTTTCGTCAGAGAGCGGCGCCCCCTGCTGGTGTCCGTCCCCAGCCGGTCCCAGCAGGATCTGAGCCGGCTCCCTTACGCCACCCTGAGGTCGCTGCGGGTCAACACGCTGGTTCACGCTCTGCTTCGTGTCGCGCACGCTCACATCAGCTCAGGTGAGGCTGTCACGCTGGCAGGGGGAGGGGCCAGCGGGACGCAGGTGAGGCTCACAGGTGAAACCTGTTAGTGAGACTTCCTGACTCCGAGCCGGTCGCCATGACGGCGGTGCTGCTGGATTCATTCCTGAACAAAATCAACATCATGAAGCAACATGGCCGCCAACTTTACCTCAGGAACTTTGTCCAGGAAACTTAAATAATGTTTTCTGATTGGAGTCTCAGTATTGTCAGTATTTTATGTTAAATCATTATGTTATTACTGATTTATTACTGTCCACATTTCCATGTAGTCATGTTCATAGCGTGGGATAATATTATCCTCTTATCGTCTTGTTATTGTGCCATCAGGTTATTATGTTATTATTGTGTTATTATTGTGTTTTATCACCATCCATGATGGCAGTTTGTGTTCCTGTCAGAGTGGAGAGACGAAGCCGAGTCTCGGAACCGCTCTGCGGTCCAGATGAAGGCGGTTCTGATGGTGCAGCAGCCGGGCGGCCAGCAGGGGGCGCTGCTGCTGTGGGGGTCTGCGAAGGGCTGGCTGCTCTATTCAGCAAACACAAAGGTACGAAGGGTCAAAGATCACAGAATGACATAAAGCACAGCTGTATGTGGAATCGGGTGAGCCGGGCACTGGGCTGATCCAGACTGGGTCAGAACCCTGGGCCGGATCAGGAGCTTCGGTTCATTTCTGCCCTCAGATGCTGTGTGGGACTTCAGAGTGCTCCTGGTGAGGGAGGGTTTGACTCTGACCTCTCGGAGCTGCACTCCACCCCCTGGAGCTCGGTCCGGGCTCTGGACCCGACAGACCGCCGGGCGCTGGACTTCCTGCGGGCGTGGTGCCATCCAGGCCCCCGGCGACGCGGGTCTGGAGCTGGATGTGGACACGCTGTTGTCCCAGAAGTACAGCGGTGAGTCGGGCCCGGCCCGTCAGAACCGGAACCATCCCAGAACTGGGTCAGATCCCTGAGGGGCTGAATACAAGCCTTTCCGTTCTGCTGCAGGTGAGGTGGAGCTCAGAGTCCAGGTGCTCAATTTCCAGTTCCAGGAGGCTCCGCTTTCCCAGAATCCGGCCCATCCGGTTCTGGACGGCTCCACGCCGCGGGCCGGCTCCTGGCGGCACTGAGCGGTGACATCACCTACACCGGCTGCGGCCGCTGCGCCGCTGAGCTGGACACGGACCGCAACGGGATCTACACGCCGTGCTACGCCTGCCTGCCGCTCACCGCCCTGCGCCGCTTCTACAGGTGCCCATGATGTCAGCAGTGATGTCACCACAGACATCACTGCTGACATCACCACCCACAAACAGCACTAAATAATGTTTTAGGATTAGCATTAGCATCCACTAATTACCATGTGAGATGAAGTTTAGCGTTAGCATGAGCTTCTGCTAACCACCGTGTTCAGGGATGTCACTGCTGAGAAACATGGCCGACCTGATGACATCACCTCTGTGTTTCAGGCCAGGTGTGTTGACAGTGAGTGGGCGGGGCTCTGCCCACCTGATGATCCGGGTTCCTCCGGTTCCTCTGCAGAAAATCCTCCAAGCCCCTCCGACCGACTCCAGTGCAACGCAGGTGAGACGCTCAGGTATGAGGTGAAGTTCTGACCCGGTTCTGACCGGGTTCTGACCCGTCTCTTTCTCTTCCTCCAGCTCCAGGTTCTCATGTGCGACACGTCCAGGTAGCGGCAGAGAAGCTGCAGGCGCTGCTGGCTCTTCCCAGGAAGTGGGTGGTCGTCACGGTGCGGAGCCACTTCCTGTGCGACCAGAACAGCGTTCCCCTCAGTCAGGACTTCACTCTGCTGGACCTTCAGGTTCCGGCCCGGTGAAGAACCCACCTGGTGGGCGGAGCTTACAGTCTCCTCCAGGTGTGTGGGCCGGGCCTGCTGCCGGCGGGTCACATGACCCATCAGCAGCAGCTTTATTATTATTACTATTAAATCATTTGATCTGACCTGAGTTCAGATCAAATGATTATTTCATATTTGTTGAGTTAAAGAAGCTCAAATGAAACGAAGATCAGAATAAATTTCATTTAAAACATTTTTATTCCTTCAACACATTTCCATATTTGGAGAAAGCCAGAAAGATGATGATGATGATGGTGGTGATGGTGATGATGATAATGATGATGATGATGATAATGATAATGATGGTGATGATGGTGATGATGATGATGATGATGATGATAATGATAATGATAATGATGGTGATGGTGATGGTGATGATGATAATGATGATGATGATGATAATGATAATGATAATGATGGTGATGGTGATGGTGATGATGGTGATGATGATGATAATGATAATGATAATGATGGTGATGGTGATGGTGATGATGATAATGATGATGATGATGATAATGATAATGATGGTGATGGTGATGGTGATGATGGTGATGATGATGATGATGATAATGATAATGATGGTGATGGTGATGATGGTGATGATGATGATGATGATGGTGATGATAGTGATGGTGATGATGATGATGATGATGATGATGATGGTGATGATGATGATGATGATGGTTTCATCAGGATGAAGGTTCACTTATCAGAGGTTTGTTCTGCCACCTCCAGCAGATCATCAAACAGGTCTGAAAATAGATCAGTTATTTCAGTTTGTCGACAAAATGGATCTAATTCAACAAAATAAATCTCCACTTAAGAATTGTTTATTTTTTTAAGAACCTCCATTTTATTTCTGGGGCTTTCAGCCAATCAGTGTGAAGGAGAATGAAAGCTGCTCCTGATTGGCTGCTTTGTGATCACCAGCCAATAGAATGTGAAACAGATCAAATGTGTTTTCTGTCAGATATTTTAGAAAAATCCAAAAAGACAAAATTTCCATATATAATTTATATAGTTTGTTTCTACAGAAAACAAATGATTTGGTTTTAGTTAAAGTTCTGAAGGTGCAGGAGCCACAGGTTGAGAACCGCTGACGTAGAACTTGGGTAAACAGAGTCGGTAGATTTGTGAATTCTAGATGTTTTCTGTTTAGTTTGCTCAGTGAGATGAGCTCCACTGTGGCGACCCCTGCTGGTCAACCTGAGGCTCTGCTTTAGATTTGATGCTGCAACATTCAGATGGACGTTTCCCACAAGATGAGTCAAAAAAACTGTTGTCCAGATGAGCCAAACTGGAGGTTTGTAATCTAATTAGTGACAGATTAACACATATGGAAAACTAAATCAAAAAAATCTAAACCTTCATTGAAATAAGTCAACAATTAATGATTTTCTACACCTCTAATTCATCACCTTTAAAATCTATTTATTGCAACAGTGAAGATCTTGTGCAATGATCTGGTTCTGCTGGTACCAGGTTCTGGTTCTGCTGGTACCAGGTTCTGGTTCTGTTGGTTCTGGTTCTGTTGGTACCAGGTTCTGGTTCTGGTACCAGGTTCTGGTTCTGTTGGTTCTGGTTCTGTTGGTACCAGGTTCTGGTTCTGTTGGTACCAGGTTCTGGTTCGGTTGGTTGGTGACCTGGTGGTTTAAAATCAAACTTCAGCTCTGATCTCCATCAGCTTCCTGCTGGATTCGCCTTTAAAGCGACGACAGAAAAACCGTCAGCTAATCGTTTTAAGTTCCCAGAGGAACTGTGGGAACACAGTTTAAAGTTCCCTGGGTTTGACCTCAGGCTGCTGGAGCAAACTGAGGGTTAAAAATCACAGATTTTGTCTCTGAGAAGCAAAGACCTTCAGAGGATCTCCAGTTGATGGACTGGTCTGTCTCCTACAGAGACGACCTCAGAGTGTTGGACACCTGAAGACATGCAGGACGTCTGTGTGGGTTTGGATCCTCAACACCAGAACCGACTGCTGGGAGACGAACTGGGACAGGATCAGAGTTCCTTGTTCCTCATACATACCTCTGTCAGACACCGCTACAGTCTGGCCTGGGTTTCCACCAGCCTCTCCGCCTCCTCCCATGGCTCCGCCTCCTCCCATGGCTCCGCCTCCTCCCATGGCTCCGCCTCCTCCCATGGCTCCGCCTCCTCCCATGGCTCCGCCTCCTCCCATGGCTCCGCCTCCTCCCATGGCTCCGCCTTGCTGCCCCTCGGCAAAGAGGCCGTGGAACCCGCTCTTCTTCTTCAGCCCCTTGTCTTCATCATCTTTGTGAAAGGTCTTTGAGAAAAATCCTTTATCTTCATCCTTCTTCTTCTCCTCCTTCTTGTCTTTGTTGCCTGTAAATTTGGACATAAAATCCTCCCTTCTTCTTGTCCTCCTCTTTGTTCTTGATGCCCAGAGCGCCCTTCACCGCGTCCTCCACTATGTCTCCTGCAACACAACCATGAACATCCAGTTTTACCATCAGAGGTTTTTCTCCTGAAGGTCTCATCCATGCAGCATCAATGATGCTGGTTTAATATCAAACTTTATTTGGTGCTTCCTGTTTTGAGGCTACCGATCGGATCGCTCTGTGCCAGCCAGAGAGTGACTGTAAGAGCTGCTGCGTGGACGAGTCCATCCCCACCAGAACAGTGACATGGATCAATAAAGTGTTTCTGACTTTGAACAGAACATCTACATGTGAAGAGCTGACTGAGAAAGGAGAAGCAGCACCTGCCTGAATGTTTCTAATGTTGTTAAGTTATTTGATGTTGGAGTCGCTGCAGCAATTCAATGAAATAAATCTGTTTCCATCTGTTTCTGTGGAGATTCAGCCTTTCAGAAAGAAATGAACATTTAAAGATCTTCACTTCTGGTTCCTCCTCATTAGAACTTAAACACCTGAGAAAGCAGCAGCAGGTGTTTCTACGTAGAAACATGGCGTCCAGATCAGCATCAGAAGTTCATCTGGTCTTTCAGGTGTTGGCAGCTCTTGCCTCTGGGAGCTGGGCGATTCCTGCTGTCCTCTTCTGCTGTGCAGTGAGGGTTACCTGCTAGCCCCGCCCACCAGCCTAGCCCCGCCCACCAGCCTAGCCCCGCCCACTACCCTAGCCCCGCCCACTACCCTAGCCCCGCCCACCAGCCTAGCCCCGCCCACCAGCCTAGCCCCGCCCACTACCCTAGCCCCGCCCACCCTAGCCCCCGCCCACCAGTCTAGCCCCGCCCACCACCCTATCCCCGCCCACCACCCTAGCGCCCCCCCCCCCCCCTCATGTCTGCACGTTAACAGTGACCCCCCCCCCTCCCTCCCCCACATTTCAACAAAATACATCAGAGTCTGCAGCTTGGACTTTATAAAGATCAGTGATCAACCAGAACACTGCAATAGCTCAGGTCCAGAACAGCCCAGAACCAGAACCAGAACCAGAACCTGGAAACTGATAAACATCTGTAACCATGGCAACTATAAGCAGGTCAAAGTTCAGGTACTGTAGGAGAGGCTGGACGGGACGGTACCGGGACGGTCCAGGAGACGGGATAGAGGACGGGACAGTTTGATTTAAAGCTGCTGGTACCAGCTTTAAAGAAAAATAAGGATAGGTAGGTTTTGATTGTACCTTGTTGAATGTTGCTTGTAGTTGTGACGGGATGAAGAATCAGGGAGAAAGCTGCTTTTGGTCCTGATTTTTCTAGTCAAGTTTGATCAACGATTTGGGTTGCAATAGTTTGACCTAGGTGCAGAATGTGAGGGAAAAACCCTAGCATATTGGAGAAGTGATGGGGAGTAGGTTTGGGGGTCTGTTTAAATTGTAACCTCTGATTGGTTACTTGAGTCTGATCCCGCCCTTCTACCTGGACGATTCTGTTCCTGAGATTTTAAAAAGCAGACTGACTCACAGAGAACCGGAGAACCCGACCTGCCTTGGTTCTGTTTGGGTTCTATCTCTTCCAGAACCACCTGGTCCAGGTGTGAACTCTGCCCCAGAGAGCTGAGGAGCCTCAGGTCCTCCCAGAAGCCCAGAGAGCTCACCTGCCCAGGTGAGTCCTCCAGGTCGGTACTCACCCACTTTCTCCCCGATGAAGCCGGCCATTCTATCCATCTTCACTGCGTCTCCGCGTCCAACGCCGTCCAAATCTGAGGACGCCACTCAGGTGACTCTGGATGGCAGTCGAGGAAACAGGTGTGTCTGCAGGCCGGCCAACCTGTTCCACCTGCTGCCTCCTTCTGAGCATGCTCAGTACGGCTGACAGGTGGGGACGAGTCCTGCTCCTCCCAGTCTGTGAGAATCTAATCCCAGTGAAACTGTGACACATGAACTCATGTTTGGATTTTCCACTGACTTCCAAACCCTGAAGGCAACAGCAGCCTGGACACACACACACACACACACACACACACAGCAGCCTGGACACACACACACACACACACACACACACACACACACACAGCAGCCTGGACACACACACACACACACACACACACACAGCAGCCTGGACACACACACACACACACAGCAGCCTGGACACACACACACACACACACACACACACAGCAGCCTGGACACACACACACACACACAGCAGCCTGGACACACACACACACACACACACACACACACACAGCAGCCTGGACACACACACACACACACAGCAGCCTGGACACACACACACACACACACACACACACACACAGCAGCCTGGACACACACACACACACACACACACACACACAGCAGCCTGGACACACACACACACACACACACACACACACACAGCAGCCTGGACACACACACACACACACACACAGCAGCCTGGACACACACACACAGCAGCCTGGACACACACACACACACACACACACACACAGCAGCCTGGACACACACACACACACACACCACACAGCAGCCTGGACACACACACACACACACACACACACACACACACACAGCAGCCTGGACACACACACACACACACACACACACACACACAACACACACACACACACAGCAACCTGGACACACACACACACACACACACACACAGCAGCCTGGACACACACACACACACACAAAGCAGCCTGGACACACACACACACACACACACACACACAGCAGCCTGGACACACACACACACACACACACACACACACACACACAAAGCAGCCTGGACACACACACACACACACACACACACACACACACAGCAGCCTGGACACACACACACACACACAAAGCAGCCTGGACACACACACACACACACACACACACACACACACACAGCAGCCTGGACACACACACACACACACACACACACACACACACACACACACAGCAGCCTGGACACCACACACACACACACACACACACAGCAGCCTGGACACACACACACACACACACACACACACACACAGCAGCCTGGACACACACACACACACACACACACACACACACACACACACACACACACACACACACACACAGCCTGGACACACACACACACAGCAGCCTGGACACACACACACACACACACACACACACACAGCAGCCTGGACACACACACACACACACACACAGCAGCCTGGACACACACACACACACACACACACACACACACACACAGCAGCCTGGACACACACACACACACACAGCAGCCTGGACACACACACACACACACACAGCAGCCTGGACACACACACACACACACACACACACACACACACACACACACACACACCGCCTGTCTGTCTGTCTGAGTGTGTGTCCACCGGCCCATTTAAAAACTGGGACCGACTCCAGAACCGCTACTGATTTTTCTTTTTATCACAAACCCCACCTGTACGAGCAAATTATAGAAAATATCCAATTTATTCTTAACTGTATGAAAACTGATTTACTGACAATAAGTTTGCCACACAGTCTGATTTAACATGGTAAACATGGACACCTGGTCAGAGGAGTGAAGCAATAAGTACTTTAACTACACGTCCCTAAAATCATTTCCTATGTTGATTGTTTCCACATTTTGGCTTCATTAAAGCAAGACGTGTCTAGTGAATTTTTAACATTTTTGTTGGGCTTCAATAGCAGTTTTTTAAATATTCTATTTGTTTTCCCTTACTTATTATGTTCATTATGTTTTCTGTTGAAATTCACAATTCTTATTTTTACTACCAACATCTCAGAACATGTTAACTGTTAATGGCACGGCTGTGATTATTCCTGATTTCCAGTGTTTTCAGGCTGCATGCTAGCTTAGCGTTAGCCTCTTGGCAACATGTCTTTACCAGGCAGCAGCAGCTGACCTGAACTCATTTTCTCAGGCTGCATGCTAGCTTAGCTTGGCAGCCTCAACAGCTCCTGACTCCTCCTTGTCTCTGCTCCTCAATCTGCTCCAGGGGGTCAAAGGTTATGTGGAAACTTATCTGCTACTTTGACATTTTTCTGGATGGATTTATGTGCTTTTAGCTTTTGTTGTCGTAGTTTCTATGACTCTCCTGCTCATTTTTTGGGTTTGCTGACATAACATTATTTATGAACTCAGAGGGGCGGGGCGGGGCGGGGCGGGGCGAGGCAGGTTATCAGGCCAAAGAGGACTGATGTCAGGTTGATTTTTTAAAAAACTTCAGTATTTTTGTCATTATTTCTACAGTATTTATATGGATAATTGTTGGAGAAATTATGATTTTATTTATCAGTTATTTGTTATTCTCATTGATCTTATAATGTATATTTATTTATGCTTTCCTTTAAGTTAATCTCATTATAGAATTAAGAATGTTCCTTGTATTGTTGATTTACTCTGATTCCTTTCTCAGAAGGCCTCACTGACAGAGAGCAGAAACAAAATCTTCCTGCAGGTTTACCTCTTGGTGAAGAGCTCTGCTTCGGTTGAGTTGCTGGCTCCAATAAAACCATCATTGATCACACTACATATTTTATTAATCTTTGTGCCTGGAAGGAGGTTATCTAGTACAGAATGATTGTGTGTTAGTTAGTGAATAACATTTGACGCTGTAGCTGTTTGCCCCCTCCCTTTAGAGCTACAGCGTCCTTGTGATTAGGGATCCTAGAAACAATAACATAGAGGAGCAGACAAAATGTGCTTCAGAGCGGTAGGAGATTGTAACTGAAGCACATCTCTGTCCGTTCTCCTCGCGAGTGAAAAAGAATCTAACTCTTTTGTCTTTTCTCTTTGTTAATGTATGTTTAACAGGTGTTAACCCTAACAATAATGTAGAAGACATGAAGAGGAGAGGTTTTAAAATAAACTTTTGCTATAAGAAACGAGTTATGCAGTTAACAGAGTTGAGATGTATATAATAGTATAAATCTGAAAATCAGTTGTTTAAAGTTGTGTATGATGAACATCTTCAGTTGGTTCACATTCTGCTGTCGTGCAGAACATCAGACAAACATCACTGCAGGAATTGTATTTAAATGTTTGTGGCTGAAAATGACAGCAGAATAAAAACTGAGTGTTTTCACCCTCATGTTTGATACGTTACTGAAATGCTGAGCTGGAGAGACGGAGTCAGAGACACCAGCCGTTAGAGCTGAAATATCATTTTATTTATGTTTATGGCCAAACTGGAGCACTGATGTAGAGACATGTTCAAGAACTAAATGTATTTTATTCACACATTGTTGCTGTTGCTCAAACTGCTGAGACCCATTTACTCTGTTTTTACTTCAGAAAGAGGCAGAATCAGCTCAACTTCCAGTCAACTGATATCAATGCATTTCGACCAATAAAGTTGATCAGAATCTGGCAGTTTGTGAGGCTAAAGAGAAGGTTTAGCGTTCATCCTGGAAGCCATTTTGTTTTTGGGCAAAATGTACGGTGACCACAGCATCACTCCTCCTCTGCCGTGTTTGGTGGAGCGTGAGGCGTCTGAGTTTCTGGTTCTTATCCTGTCGTGTTCAACAAACTTTCCCAGAATGACGGACTTCCTGTCCCGTGTGGATCACCTGTCCTCTGCAGACCCTCCTGCTTTTTCTGGAGTCAGAATCTAAAGTTCAGGTCAAAATTTCATGTTGAAATATCCTAAACAGTTTTGGGGTGAAGCTTTTAGAATCGGTCCAGAAACGACTTTCTGTCTGAACAGGAAACTCTAAAGTAATCGCTGCTCTTGTTCTGAGGAACGAATCTGTAAATATTTTAGCTGTTTTAAATAAAGTGCTGCTGTTTCCTTCACTTCAGCTGAATAATAAACTCGTCCTTCACCTTCCAGCCACATTTAATCCCAGAAAAAATATTTTATGTCTGGAGAAAAAACCTGAAGAGGGAGAAACTAAACTTTATTAATTCAGTTTAGTTTTTATCAAACTTAAAATTAACAGCAATAACCAAACATCAGAAATCAGCTTTATGTTTTAATATATTTAATTTGCCACTTTATTGGTTCCAGAAAACAAACCAGTAAATATCCAAATGTAGAATTTATTAAACCAGTTAAGTTCCCAGTAAGACGCTGGGAGGCTTACTGGGTTTAAAACAGAAATAGAGATGAAACGAGAGGAGCCGAGTTCAGAAACATCTGAGGCAGAGAGGGAGGTGGAGGTGGTGCAGGTGATGCAGGTGGTGCAGGTGATGCAGGTGGTGCAGTGATGCAGGTGATGCAGGTGGTGCAGGTGATGCAGGTGGTGCAGGTGATGCAGGTGGTGCAGGTGATGCAGGTGATGCAGGTGGTGCAGGTGGTGCAGCTCCGTCCTCCAGCCTCCTAGTTGTATAGATTTCCAGCCAGATCCAGCAGACCTCCAGCTGAGCACAAACAGAAACCAAACCTGAAAACCAGTCCAGAGAAACGAGACGGGCAGAACCGGGCAACAGAACCGGGTCCACTATTTGGACCCGGCTGGTTTATTCTAAGAAAAATAAACTTTAATGAAGGTTGTTAATCTTTGGTCCTCAGCAGCTTGTTGATGATCAAATATAATTTTGTTGTTTAACTTCTTGACGTTTTGGCTCTACAATAAAATTTGCTGGATGACAAAATGTCCCAGAAATTATCATCACAATAATTTGGTTGTTAATAATTACTCAATATAAATGCACTGATTCAAAGACAAAAAACATTTAGTTTGTAAAGAAAATGTTTAACTCAAAGATAATTTTTTTGATAATAATGTGATTAAATATCAGGAAGTTCTTTAAACCATTAAAACAGCAAAGGCTGTAAAATCTGGATATGAATCATCAATTATTCTGACTGGAGGAAAGTTTTGTATTTTTCCTCCTCCAGGTGCTGCAGTTTTCTCTGTGGACACCAGGGGGCGGCGTTCTCCTGGCTCCTCACCTGTTTCAGGTAAACTTCTTTGTTGTTAAATGATGTCGACTCACCTGCGTTTTCTCCGTCCTGCCTTTGTTGCCAACCATCACAGCGCGTCTCCCAGACCGAAGCATCCTTGATCTCCTTCCTGCTGCTGCGGCTTCTGCGGCTGCTGCGGCTGCTGCGGCTGCTGCGGCTTCTGCGGCTGCTGCGGCTGCTGCGGCTTCTGCGGCTGCTGCGGCTGCTGCGGCTTCTGCGGCTTCTGCGGCTGCTGCGGCTGCTGCGGCTTCTGCTGCTGCTCTTGTCCTTTTTTTCCACCCATGAACTCATCCACCTTTTGCTCCACAAACTCACCTGGAGACGAAGCAAGAGACGAGTTCTGCCTCGATTAAACTGAAAGATCCTCCTGGTAAATATGATCGCAGGTTCATTAAAGGCGCCACACCTCAGGTAAATACCTGAGGTGTGGCGGCGCCCCGCCCCCGCCAGGCGGCGCCCCGCCCCCTCCAGGTGGTGCTCTGCCCGAGGGGGCGTGGCGCCGCCTGGAGGCGAAAATGTTCTGAATGTTCTGAACATTCAGGCGGTTTTTCGGGTTAGTCAGTGGAACCTGAACTGGGTTTTAAACCGTCAGCAGCAGTGAGGATGAACTCAGTGGGCTGGTTTCTATCAGACTGAAAGGTCAGAGTTTCATCCTCCATCTTCTCCTCGGAGGAACATTATGACTGATTCAACTTCCTGTAGCGATTTCAGAGGAATATTCTGGTTTTCTTGTTGAGTTTGAATCATTTTATGGAGGATTTAGTAAATTTAAAGACCAAAACATGTTAATAAATATATAATGAATAAATAACGTGAAGAGAAAACTTTGGTTGTGTTTGTTTTTTTGAGGATACAGTTTTCAGAGATCACTTCATAAATGTTTATTAATGTGGTTAAACTGAAAGGATCATCTGACTTCCTACCCAAATCTGTTCAATTTAAATAATTAGTTCAGGCTTCTGGGAAATGAAGAGCAAATTATCACAGAATGTTTTTGACTTTTCTGGAAATATTGTTTCCACTAATCATCCAATCAGTAAAGACTAATACCTTTATTGACTTCTTTACTAAAAAATAAGAAGCATATTTGTCTGAAAGGCTAAAAGTTCAGATGTTCCAGCTCCGGTCAGAACCGAACCGACCCGGTTCTGTCAGTGTTCTCTTTCATTTAGCTCAGACACTGAGGAACAAATGCAGTTTGGCCAGAACCAGACGGCAAACAGTAAATATCAGGAGATCCTTCAGACCAGATGCAGCTGCAGCTTTGACCTTTGACCTTGTCGTTTGAGGTTTGTCATTGACAGGAAGCTTCAAGGTCAAAGCAACTCAGATCTCAAATCCACAAAGTTCTGGAACAAAACCTCTAAAACAAAAAGTTTCCTAAAGCAGCTCCTCTAAATACATGTTGAAGAATTAAAGGTTGAGTTTTTTATTTGGCTCCATTCGTGATTCAACTGCAGCTTCAATACCAACTTCAGGAGGTTTTGTGTTGACAGGAATCCTGATGTTTGGAGGGATGATGATAAATATAAATACTTCAGTTTTGAACCTGATCAAATCAACTGTGAGCATCAAACCAATGAAGAAACAGAAACATTCCCAGGATAAAATAAAGTGTCTTATTGAGTCTCACCCGCTTTCTGCCCGGCAACTTTGCCCAAATTATCGCCTCCAACCGCGTTTTTCAGGAAGTTCATGTCTGCAGCGTCTGGTTCTGGTTCAGGAAGAGATCAGGGATCGATGTGCTCTGGCTCTGGTTCTGCTCGGCCTCTTATACCTGCTGGCGACGCCCCGCCGGGGAATCAGGCGCGGTTCGGTTCGGTCCGACCCGTCGAACCGGCTGGGCTAAATTTCTGCTCCTGTTGTTTGACTGCAGTGAACCGGGAGGTTTTAATCACCGACAGGTGAGGAAGGGAGGCGCTGAGTCAGCCGTCAGGAATGACAAGAGGCACAGAACCAAACCGGGTCGGAACCGAAACAAAAACATTGAATCATTGAATAAACATTGAATTCAGACCTGATATTTCTAAGGGCGCAGCTGCTCCACCCTGATGATGATGATGATGATCCTGTCAGGTGGCTCTGCCCTCTGATTGGCTGGGAGGCTCAGGTATTGCTGCAGGAAAGGTGTGTTTCGTCTGCTGCAACAAACAAACAAGCAAACCTGCATGAACTCGGCGTTGCTGTGGCAACGACCCGCTACACACCAAAGCTCAGCGATTCGTCACGATTTTACCAACATCTGATTTTAAATCTGTCAAGTTTTAAAGAAATGTTTGTGATCTACTTGATGAAACATAAATAATCTGAAAAGATGAGTTTGATGTGAGACTCAAACGGATCGACTCCCTGATGCTTCAAAGGTCAAACTGACCAGGGCAAAGGTCAAACTGACCAGTGCAAAGGTCAAACTGACCAGTGCAAAGGTCAAACTGACCAGTGCAAAGGTCAAACTGACCAGGGCAAAGGTCAAACTGACCAGGGCAAAGGTCAAACTGACCAGTGCAGGCCTTTAAAGGCTGTTTTTAAAGGCCTTATTATTTTACTCTATATTCTCGTTAACCTTCTCCTGTCTGAGTTTCTAGTTTTGTGTCCATTTTGTTGCTTTAAACTGAATAAACTGTCTTCCTGCTAAACGTTTCAATGTGGAGGGCAGGAGGAGCTGCGCCTCGGAGGCGGGCTACGGCCACTCAGACATTTAGCAGCTAACTGGTTGCCATGGAGATTAAAGGACTTCTCAAACATGTATGAAAGAATCAACGCAAAAAACATTTTAACGTGATGAACAGCTCAAAAAACTGATTTTAGATAAAAATGAAAATGTAAGTTCCCAGATCTATGATGTGGGTTCAGTTCAGTGATGGAGGAACCAAAATGTCTCCTTCATAACCGGTCACCAAAAAAATCACCAAAAAGTCCTGCAACAGAAAATAAACCAGCTGCTGATCTTGAAGCCTGTGGAGTTCCTGTAGTAATGTAGATTATTCATTTTTGCAGTCAAACACGATTTGTCTTTAATTATTAAGGATCTAATAAGTTTTATCACACAAACAAAAACCCTCAATTTTTCTTATTTTTCTGTTCATATAGAGTGTTGAAGGTAGGAATTGGGAAATGAAATGATTGGTTAAAATCTTATTTATTTCAATTAGTTAAGAAAGAAAACACAAAATGTTTTCCTGGACAGGTTTTGCAGTGTTGATGCAGACAGCAGACAGTCAAAGCTTCGTCATCAGAGACAGATAATCCTCTGCTATTCACCGACTGCATGATTGAATTTAATCACTGATTCATAAACTCCATAAACTGAGTATCGACTGTGATTTGATAAAACAAACTTAATCCTCCAGAATTTGACTCTCAGCTCTTTTGTTCCCTCTGCTCTTGGTTCATGTCCTGGTTCTCACATGACTCCACCAGGGTGTCCAGACCAGTTTTAGAGGTGCCCTAAAACTGGCCAGGGTAATTCAGCACCCTGAATAACCCTGAATTGCCCTGAATTGCCCTGAATTACCCTGAATAACTCTGAATTACCCTGAATAACCCTGAATTACCCTGAATTACCCTGAATAACCCTGAATAACCCTGAATTACCCTGAATAACCCTGAATTACCCTGAATTACCCTGAATTACCCTGAATAACTCTGAATTACCCTGAATAACCCTGAATAACCCTGAATTACCCTGAATTACCCTGAATAACCCTGAATAACCCTGAATTACCCTGAATAACCCTGAATTACCCTGAATTACCCTGAATTACCCTGAATAACTCTGAATTACCCTGAATAACCCTGAATAACCCTGAATTACCCTGAATTACCCTGAATAACCCTGAATAACCCTGAATTACCCTGAATAACCCTGAATTACCCTGAATTACCCTGAATAACCCTGAATAACCCTGAATTACCCTGAATTACCCTGAATTACCCTGAATAACCCTGAATAACCCTGAATTACCCTTAATAACCCTGAATAACCCTGAATAACCCTGAATTACCCTGAATAACCCTGAATTACCCTGAATTACCCTGAATAACCCTGAATAACCCTGAATAACCCTGAATTACCCTGAATTACCCTGAATTACCCGGAATAACCCTGAATTACCCTGAATAACCCTGAATTACCCTGAATTACCCTGAATTACCCTGAATAACCCTGAATTACCCTGAATAACCCTGAATAACCCTGAATTACCCTGAATAACCCTGAATTACCCTGAATTACCCTGAATTACCCTGAATAACCCTGAATAACCCTGAATTACCCTGAAAACCCTGAATTACCCTGAATTACCCTGAATTACCCTGAATAACCCTGAATTACCCTGAATAACCCTGAATTACCCTGAATAACCCTGAATTACCCTGAATAACCCTGAATAACCCTGAATTACCCTGAATTACCCTGAATTACCCTGAATTACCCTGAATAACCCTGAATTACCCTGAATAACCCTGAATTACCCTTAATAACCCTGAATAACCCTGAATTACCCTGAATAACCCTGAATTACCCTGAATTACCCTGAATTACCCTGAATAACCCTGAATTACCCTGAATAACCCTGAATTACCCTGAATAACCCTGAATTACCCTGAATTACCCTGAATAACCCTGAATTACCCTGAATAACCCTGAATTACCCTGAATAACCCTGAATTACCCTTAATTACCCTGAATTACCCTGAATAACCCTGAATAACCCTGAATTACCCTGAATAACCCTGAATTACCCTGAATTACCCTGAATTACCCTGAATTACCCTGAATAACCCTGAATTACCCTGAATTACCCTGAATAACCCTGAATTACCCTGAATAACCTGAATTACCCTGAATAACCCTGAATAACCCTGAATTACCCTGAATAACCCTGAATAACCCTGAATTACCCTGAATAACCCTGAATTACCCTGAATAACCCTGAATAACCCTGAATTACCCTGAATAACCTGAATAACCCTGAATTACCCTGAATAACCCTGAATTACCCTGAATAACCCTGAATTACCCTGAATTACCCTGAATTACCCTGAATAACCCTGAATAACCCTGAATTACCCTGAATAACCCTGAATAACCCTGAATTACCCTGAATAACCCTGAATTACCCTGAATAACCCTGAATAACCCTGAATTACCCTGAATAACCCTGAATTACCCTGAATAACCCTGAATTACCCTGAATAACCCTGAATTACCCTGAATAACCCTGAATTACCCTGAATAACCCTGAATTACCCTGAATAACCCTGAATTACCCTGAATTACCCTGAATTACCCTGAATAACCCTGAATAACCCTGAATTACCCTGAATAACCCTGAATTACCCTGAATTACCCTTAATAACCCTGAATTACCCTGAATAACCCTGAATTACCCTGAATTACCCTGAATAACCCTGAATTACCCTGAATAACCCTGAATTACCCTGAATAACCCTGAATTACCCTTAATTACCCTGAATTACCCTGAATAACCCTGAATAACCCTGAATTACCCTGAATAACCCTGAATTACCCTGAATTACCCTGAATTACCCTGAATTACCCTGAATAACCCTGAATTACCCTGAATTACCCTGAATAACCCTGAATTACCCTGAATAACCCTGAATTACCCTGAATAACCCTGAATAACCCTGAATTACCCTGAATAACCCTGAATAACCCTGAATTACCCTGAATAACCCTGAATTACCCTGAATAACCCTGAATAACCCTGAATTACCCTTAATAACCCTGAATAACCCTGAATTACCCTGAATTACCCTGAATTACCCTGAATAACCCTGAATAACCCTGAATTACCCTGAATAACCCTGAATAACCCTGAATTACCCTGAATAACCCTGAATTACCCTGAATAACCCTGAATAACCCTGAATTACCCTGAATAACCCTGAATTACCCTGAATAACCCTGAATTACCCTGAATAACCCTGAATTACCCTGAATAACCCTGAATTACCCTGAATAACCCTGAATTACCCTGAATAACCCTGAATTACCCTTAATTACCCTGAATTACCCTGAATAACCCTGAATAACCCTGAATTACCCTGAATAACCCTGAATTACCCTGAATTACCCTGAATTACCCTGAATTACCCTGAATAACCCTGAATTACCCTGAATTACCCTGAATAACCCTGAATTACCCTGAATAACCCTGAATTACCCTGAATAACCTGAATAACCCTGAATTACCCTGAATAACCCTGAATAACCCTGAATTACCCTGAATAACCCTGAATTACCCTGAATAACCCTGAATAACCTGAATTACCCTTAATAACCCTGAATAACCCTGAATTACCCTGAATTACCCTGAATTACCCTGAATAACCCTGAATAACCCTGAATTACCCTGAATAACCCTGAATAACCCTGAATTACCCTGAATAACCCTGAATTACCCTGAATAACCCTGAATAACCCTAAATTACCCTGAATAACCCTGAATTACCCTGAATAACCTGAATTACCCTGAATAACCCTGAATTACCCTGAATAACCCTGAATTACCCTGAATAACCCTGAATTACCTGAATAACCCTGAATTACCCTGAATTACCCTGAATTACCCTGAATAACCCTGAATAACCCTGAATTACCCTGAATAACCCTGAATTACCCTGAATTACCCTGAATTACCCTGAATAACCCTGAATAACCCTGAATTACCCTGAATAACCCTGAATTACCCTGAATTACCCTTAATAACCCTGCCTAACACACTATGATAAAAATGAAACAAGAAAACAGAAGACCTCCTTTTTATTTTAGGCTTAATGTCACTTTATTTTTAAAAAATGTTCTATTAATGTTTGTTTTGCAATCTGAATGTGTAATATAACTTCCACCAGCAGAGGGCGCTCAGCGCTGTGTGCAGTGGAAGCGAAGAAGTTCTCTCCTGCTACTGATCTGCTTTTGCTCGTAAGTTGATGTCGATAATATTTGGTGGTAAACAGCAGCAGTGAGATCATAAGGGCCTTAGAGTCCAGCGGATATCAGGCTAAAGAATGAATTTACAAGTTTAGCAGCTCGTAACGATGATTCTTCACAGTGTGGAGTTAAAATGGCGGCTCTGTTCGGTGGTCGCAGTAATGAACTGCTTCAGTTAAGCTAGCTTAAAAAGCTAGCTCGCTTAAAGATGCAGTAAGGCCGGGGGGCCCGGACCCGGGGGCCCGGACCCGGGGGGCCCGGACCCGGGGGGCCCGGACCCGGGGGGCCCGGACCCGGGGGGCCCGGACCCGGGGGGCCCGGACCCGGGGGCCCGGACCCGGGGGGCCCGGACCCGGGGGGCCCGGACCCGGGGGGCCCGGACCCGGGGGGCCCGGACCCGGGGGCCCGGACCCGACATTTATTTCAGTCACCGTGTCATGTGACCAGACACTGAAGTACTGAGTCAGTTTTATTCAAGCTAAGCTACTGAAGACGTGTTCAGGTACAGATGATAAAAGTGCATTTCACAAGTTATAGGACCATCGACCTGTGGTCCCATCGGACTAAGGTCAATAGGTCAATAGGTCAATAGGGAGACATGGCCGCCATGTTGCTTTGAGTTCACATTCAGTTTCTATTGGAGAAGATCAAAGGAAGTGACATTTTCATTGTTTTGACAAAACTGTGGTCTCAAATTGATTGTGACCCAATTTGTGTCTACAAAATGAGAGCAAAGGCGTTGAGGCGAAACACCGAACAGGACCAGTAGGCCAAGTTCTGTCATCGTTATTACGCTGTTATTACATGTGTTTTATTGTTCTGTTATTTGGGTGAAATAATTTGTGAAGTTTGTTGAAATGTCCTGCTACTAAATAGAAACTGAGTAGTTCCATGTTTTTCGCTCTTGCCCAGTTTGCTGCTGCATCTTGTCTTCAAGTTGCCACATGAGCAGCTAATTAGCAGGAAGAGTCAGTTTTCAAGGGGTTAACACTCATTTTCCTTTTGAAGACTTTGTCATTCCCTTTTTACTGAGAAAAGTTATTTTGTTATTTTAATCTTGCTTGTGTAACATGGTTGAATTTATCCGTTGTTATAATTACTCAAAATGTTTTTCTTTGGTTATTTGTATGGGTTCCTACCTGACTGCAAATCTCTGTTATTGTTTTAACTGTGTTACTTTAAGAACGGAAGCCCCTCCCCTTTTGTTTCTTCTTCTGTGGTATTGTCTTTAAAATGTTTGCGTCCCTTAGACCCTCCCTTTTGTCATGTTGTCCTGTGGGAGAGGTGTGTACTATTTATTTTGTATCTGAATACATCCAGTTTATTTATAGCTTTATTAAGTTCATTTCTGTTATGTACTTTTGTCTATGTAGGGCTTGGAGCGGGCAGCCTGTAACACGGTTATTTTCTATCTGTTATTCTTGTCAGAATAAACCCTTTTAAAGGTGAACTACGGCCTAATCATTTAAAACCAGCACAATGCAGATCGGATCCGGTTACACTTGTTTTATCAGAAGTTTCTTTACAGACACGATGGAGTCAGTCTGAGCTGGATTGTCTGGAGGGGCTGGTTGACCTTTCATGACCTCCTCAAACATTTCCTTATATCTTTAAAATGATTGCAGCACAAACCAAGTTTTTTGCTGCAGAAACATCTGACACAAATTTTGTCTGATTTGAGGTGGACTTCACCCCCGGATCGACACCAAACTGTGATGCTGTTCCAGGCTTTTAATGCAGATTCTTTCAGTTTGGCTTCCTTCTCCTCTGCAGGAGCTGAAGTTCATTCTCTGCTGGGTTAATTGGTCTTTAATCTTAAACCACTTTGTTTCCGCTGATGAAGCCTAGCCTTTGTTTTGAAGGCAGTGTGTTCTGGTCATTGTCCTGGTGCATGATAAAATTCCTCCTGGTTAGTTTCTCTGTAAATATTTCAGAAAAATGTTTCAGTAAACTCAGAATTGATTCTGCTGCCATTATCAGAAACATCATCATTAAAATGAATGAGGCTGTTGCAGGAACATCAGCTCCGCCAGGCTTCACAGAGGAACTGATGAGCTTTGGATCCAGGCAGCCAGATGAATCCCGTCACATCCAGCTCTGATCGGTCAGCGTGAAACACGGCACACTTCAGTCACACAGTCCAGTAGTTTGCTGACTGGAAAAATGGTTTTGTTCAAATGAAGAGAATTTTGTCCACAGTTGTTAAACATCTACATGTAACAACCAGGAAATAAAGGCTGAGCTCCCAGTTACTCTGTTACTCTGATCTCAAACCAAAAGTGGAAAATAACAACAGAGGAATTGTTCCTCCTGTTCCAATAATTCTGGAGGGTCTGTGTGCCTGATAACGGTAATAATAACCTTTATTTGACCAGGTCTGCCAGATGAGTCCTGGCCAGCAGCATTCGGTTCTTTTGGACCTTCTGGAGAACTGAGCTCCTGTCACTGACGACGACTCAGGTCAGAAAACCAAACCTTCATTTTAAACTCTTTATTTCTTCCAGCTTATAAAAGATTCAACCAGCTGAGCCTGAATCAGAGTAAACTCCATCATTCGTCTGTTTCAGTGAAGCTTCAAGCATTAGTAGAGCTGGATCAGGGGGCGTGGCTTACAGGTAAACAGGTGAGCAGCAGGAGTTGAACACTCCAATGAGCCAATCATCTGAAAGCAGTGACCTGAGTGTTAAATCATCCAAGCATAACCAAGGGAAACCATGTAACCATGGCAACAAGGCAGTCGGCGCTCTGATTGGTTAATGAGGTTAACAATGCAGAGGAGGAGCAGCAGAGCAGCAGGTTAGCGTTGAGTTCTTCTTCTCTCCTCTGTGACGGAAACATTCTGAGTCTGCAAGACAAGAAAAGAAGAATGAGAACAAAACTTCATGAAATTGGATCTCAGAAGCAAAGAGTGATTGAGTTCAAAAGACTTTAGATGTGAACATATAAGCAGCTCGTTAAACAATGTTTAAAACTGCCAGGTTTCCGAGCAACAGGCTCATATGCAAACACAGGCAAATCTAAATGAAGGTTCGTCTCATTTCACTGCCGAGTTGCTGAAGAGCAGGAAAGTCCAAGTCCATCCTGGACAGCCGCCTGCTGGAGCAGGGCTGCATCTAAAGGTTACAGGGACCGGACCTGCCCCCCTGACCCAGAGCTTCAAAATAAAACAGAAACATAACAACAGGTTTGAACAAATCATGTCCAGCATGTCTGTCAATAAATTAGCACCTTGTTTTCTGACTCTTGATGGTCAGATATTATCACCTTATGGACCCGATTATAATACCAAATTTAAAATCTTTGATATTCTGTTTTTCCCATCGTAGTTCACCTAATCAGAATGAATCAATAAATGAAGATACAAACTAACTTTCTCCTGTTGTTTCTTAAACTCATTTATTTGAGGAGTTTCTCACCTACTGAGCTGCAGGTTCAGGCTGATCTGCTGCTGCAGCCTGCAGGAGACAGAGCAGATCATCATCATCATCATCCTGTCAGCCTGTTTCCAGTCACTTTGTTAGTTTCATCAGTGGAACCGTCGACACGTTTGAATCTTTCTGCTGAGCAGAAAGATTAAAACTATTCCCTGTAATTCAGTTTTCATTTGAACAGAAAGTAAAGCAGATTCATCAGATCTCAGACTTGAACTTCCCTCAACAACCATCAAAACATTTCAGATAAAATAGATACATATACAATATATCTATAAAGATATACATAGAATAGATATATTGTTTTCTTACAATCTGCTTTATCATTTCTTTTTATAAGCTATAGTTTAATTACAGCTTATGAAAATAAGATGACTAAAACTGGTAATTATGAATTATTGTCAGTTAAATCCATCCAATAATTTGGTTTCCTGTTAGTTAAATGATGAGTTTTAAGAGCAGAAAGCGTCACAACAGCCCAACCAATCAGGCACCTGCTCTGCTGCTGGTCCCGCCTCCTCCTGAATCCAGCCAATCAGAGATGAAAACATTTTTAAAATTTTACATGGCAGAAATTGTATCAGTAATTAATCATCCCAAAATAGATTTATAAAATTAATGACTTTAGAAATGTAAATTTAAATGCAATAGATGAAGACTTTGTGTGTTATGTTTGCTATTCATCGATGTGACGTCACTCACCGTCTTGACCAATCCGCTCGCCACGTTCTCCACGCGCTCCACCGTCGCCTGGGCAACCTCGTTGGCCCCGGCAACCGCGGTGTCGGCAACAACGTTGGTCTGTTCAGTGGATTTCTGAGCAACTGGGCAACAGAAACCAGCAACAATTAAACCGGGAAACATTTTCATCTGAGAAACATTTACAGCTTGAAATGATGTGACCAACATGGAGGACATCATGTCCAACATGGAGGACATCATGTCCAACATGGAGGACATCATGTCCAACATGGAGGACATCATGTCCAACATGGAGGAGATCATGTCCAACATGGAGGACATCGTGTCCAACATGGAGGAGATCATGTCCAACATGGAGGACATCATGTCCAACATGGAGGACATCATATCCAACATGGAGGAGATCATGTCCAATATGGAGGACATCGTGTCCAACATGGAGGACATCATGTCCAACATGGAGGACATCATGTCCAACATGGAGGAGATCATGTCCAACATGGAGGAGATCATGTCCTCCATGTTGGATATGATGTCCAACATGGAGGACATCGTGTCCAATATGGAGGACATCATGTCCAATATGGAGGACATAATGTCCAACATGGAGGACATTATGTCCAACATGGAGGACATCATGTCCAACATGGAGGAGATCATGTCCAACATGGAGGACATCATATCTAATATGAAGGACATAATGTCCAACATGGAGGACATCATGTCCAACATGGAGGACATCATATCCAACATGGAGGAGATCATGTCCAACATGGAGGAGATCATGTCCAACATGGAGGACATCATATCCAACATGGAGGACATCATATCTAATATGAAGGACATCATGTCAAATATGGAGGACATTATGTCCAACATGGAGGACATTATGTCCAACATGGAGGACATCATGTCCAACATGGAGGACATCATGTCCAACATGGAGGACATCATGTCCAACATGGAGGACATCATATCAAACATGGAGGACATCATATCCAACATGGAGGACATCATGTCCAACATGGAGGACATCATATCCAACATGGAGGACATCATGTCCAACATGGAGGACATCATGTCCAACATGGAGGACATCATATCCAACATGGAGGACATCATGTCCAACATGGAGGACATCATATCCAACATGGAGGAGATCATGTCCAACATGGAGGACATCATATCTAATATGAAGGACATCATATCCAACATGGAGGACATCATATCCAACATGGAGGACAACATGTCCAACATGGAGGACATCATATCCAACATGGAGGACATCATGTCCAACATGGAGGACATCATGTCCAACATGGAGGACATCATATCCAACATGGAGGAGATCATGTCCAACATGGAGGACATCATATCTAATATGAAGGACATAATGTCCAACATGGAGGACATCATGTCCAACATGGAGGACATCATATCAAACATGGAGGACATCATGTCCAACATGGAGGACATCATGTCCAATATGGAGGACATTATGTCCAATATGGAGGACATCACGTCCAACATGGAGGACATCATGTCCTCCATATTGGACATTAATGTCCAACCTTTAACTTCCTGTTTGTCTGGATGTTGCTTCACTATTTCTACCTAATGTTCTTTACTAATGAAGCGCACCAGTCCCTCCTGCAGTAACAGCCCCTCAGCATGAAGCTGCCTCCTCCGTGCTTCACCAATGGAACCTGAGCTTCAACCAGATGATGGAGGTCAGAGTTTCTCCTCAGATTTTAACCATTACTTGTCAGCAGGAAGCAGAAAGTTTGAGATTTTGCCCTGAAATACGTGCCAGGTGCAAAAAAATATGTTTAGCATTTTTAGAGAATCTGAATGTTAATAATTAAAACTGATTAAAAATACGAAGTATTTGTTGTTTAAGGACAGAGTAAGAAGAGATTTGTATGTTTAAGATGTGTAGATAATTTGTTTTCTTGTGGATTTATCATTTAAAATGTAATTTTATTTGAATTAATTGTTTTTGATTATTTAAGGTCTAATTCTAAGATAAACGACAGGATTTATTAAACCTGTATTTATTGAACTGTTTTAACCAGAGTGGTAAAATAATATAATAATGGAGATTAAAGTCAGGAGTTTTTATAAACAGTCACAGGAAAACATGAAATAATAAAATAATCATGAATTTCTGATCACCTGAATTGACGCTCGTCACCACGCCCTCCATCGTCTTGTTTCCTGTAAAACCAACAACATTTCCAAACATTTCACTGTAAAACTGAGACTGAATTTAAACCAGTTTCAATCATAATCTGGAGAATCATTGTAGACATGTTCAGGTTCTGTTCAGGTTCTGTTGGACCAGGTTCTGTTCAGGTTCTGTTCAGGTTCTGTTGGACCGGGTTCTGTTCAGGTTCTGTTCAGGTTCTGTTGGATCGGGTTCTGTTCAGGTTCTGTTCAGGTTCTGTTCAGTTCTGTTGGACTGGGTTCTGTTCAGGTTCTGTTCAGGTTCTGTTGGACCGGGTTCTGTTCAGGTTCTGTTCAGGTTCTGTTGGACCGGGTTCTGTTCAGGTTCTGTTGGACTGGGTTCTGCTCAGGTTCTGTTCAGGTTCTGTTGGACTGGGTTCTGTTCAGGTTCTGTTGACCAGGTTCTGTTCAGGTTCTGTTCAGGTTCTGTTGGACCAGGTTCTGTTCAGGTTCTGTTGGACTGGGTTCTGTTCAGGTTCTGTTGGACCAGGTTCTGTTCAGGTTCTGTTCAGGTTCTGTTGGACTGGGTTCTGTTCAGGTTCTGTTGGACTGGGTTCTGTTCAGGTTCTGTTGGACCGGGTTCTGAAGATGAGCTTCTGATAAATATCTGATTATTTTCTGGCTTCGTTTCATTCATTGTCATTGAGTGAAATGATCTTTGGTGAAAATCTGAACTTTAAAGTAAAATTACACCAAATAGATGAAATGTTTGATTGTTACTCAAAGCAAAACATATTTTTCAGATCATTTAATAGCGCCTGAATGTTTCTGCAGCAGATTAATGAATAATAAATGAGCTGCAATTATTTGATGACTCTAAAAGCTGGATATTGCTTTGGGCTTTTAATTTGAAAAAACTTAATGTTTTGCTTTCATTAAACAAAGTGGAATCAGGTCAAAGGTCAGATCAGAGCCATGTTTCCATGTGAGGCAGTTAGAGATGAACTATTAAATTAGTTTTTATTATTTCCATCCATTTTCCAGATTCAAGATGAAGTTTGTTTCATTTCCTACTTAGTTTTCTTCTGTATTTTGTTATGATGATCTATTATTTACTTATTTTATTACTAAAAAATGAAACGAATGATTCAGTAAAACTGGAAACATTTATGTTTTTACAGTGTATTAATATAATTATTGACATTTATTTGATCTAATATTTGAGTTCATGTTTTTCCTCTACATGATTTTATCTATTTTTTATGGATGATCTCATTAATAAAATAAATCAATCTTTTCCTCTGCAGCCATGATGACTCGGCGTTTCCTCTCATCCTGATGGATCTTAATATTTAACAGCGTCGTTTCAATCTAAGTTATATTTCATGTATTCGGCTGAATATATTTAATCAGCTCATTTGCTGGAAGTTTTAAATATTTATTTGGACAATTTTCCTATTTTATTTTGTTCTTTCCTTCCATATTGAATATGAAGCAGATTTTAAATAAATAAATAAATAATAAATATACATATTTATGTGTTTTATAAGTATATATTTTCTCTAATACTTTAATTTTGTTTTTATTATAAGTCTCTTAAAATGATTTTTAAGTTTAATTACTTTTAAAACTTAGTTTCATTAAAATGTTTCTCTAGTTTTTTATCTCCTTATTTTTTTAAATTAATGTTAAATATTATTAATGCATTTTCTAACAACTTGTTCCTGTTGGGTCAGGAGGTTCTGGTTCCTCTGGGCGAGAGGCGGAGTCACCTGGACAGGTGACCAGTCTGTCACAGGGAAACACACACACACAACCACACACACTCACACACACACACACTCACACAACACACACACACACTCACACACACACACTCACACACAGACACAACCACATACACTCACACACACACACACTCACACACACACAACCACACACACACACACAGACACAACCACACACACTCACACACACACACACACTCACACACACACAACCACACACACTCACACACACACTCACACACACACACACACACTCACTCACACACACACCCCACACACACACACAGACACAACCACACACACTCACACACACACACACACACACTCACTCACACACACACTCACACAACCACACACACACACACAGACACAACCACACACACACACACACTCACTCACACACACACACAACCACACACACACACACACACTCACACAACCAAACACACACACTCGCACACACAACTTAACACACACACTCGCACACACACACTCACACACACCACACACTCGCACACACACAACTAAACACACACACACATGTCGGGAATTTGGACCAGTCGGTGTTTTGCCCTGTGGGAGGAACCTGGAGAACCGGGCAGAACCAGGACAGAGAGCGAACCCATCATGCACAGAGACAACATGCAGGAAGACGTCGGACCGGGAATCGAACCCAGAACCTTCTTCCTCCAAGGCAACGGTGCTACCAACTGCACCACTGTGCAGCCCAACACAAATATTATTAATGTTTTCTTTTAATAATTTCATCCTTTATGCCATTTTTGCTGGTTTTTTCTCCAGATTTCACTGCAAGAAGTGACACTGTTGAGGTCAAAGGTCACGGTGGTCTTACCCACATACATGACTCCGTCCTTGGTCTTGGTCGCGGCCTCGCCCACGCCGGCTTTGGTCTTCTCAGTGGCGGCGACGACGCCTTCCTTAGCCACGGAGAATCCCTTCCTCAGAGCATCCATGATGAAGATGATGAAGGTGAAGATGCTGCCTCTGTCTTCTCTGTCTCTGTCTGTCTCTGGTCTGGTCTGTCCTCTGCTGCGTCCGTCTCCGTCTGCCTGCCACCCTCCTGCTGGAGGCGGAGCCGCGTCAGGCTGGGAGGAGCCGACGCGGCGGAGCCTCCAGCAGGAAGAGGATTCAGATTCCAGAAACGTCCTGAACTGAAAAACGTTTTCATGAACATTTATTGATGCTTGTGCAGAAACAAACGGCCACAGAAGAACCGCAGTTCAGGAAGGTTCTGGTTCTGGTTCAGTCTGTGACCCACTAGGATTTTCACAAGGAGACGCGAAGACGCTGCGACTCCCTGCAGACACGAACGTGTGACCGACCCGCCCAGAGTCACACCATCATCATCATCATCATCATCATCAGGTCACATGATGCTGAGCAGAACCAGAACCAGCAGGTTCTGGTGCTGCAGGTCCAGAAATCTGCTGGGGCCAGAACCGGTGGGTTCACACTCACACACACACACACACACACACACACACACACACACACACACACACACACACACACACACACACACACACACACACACACACACACACACTCCCTCAGTGACTCAGCAGAACACTCTGCGCTCTGATTGGTCGATTATTTTTAGAGGCTTTTATTTCCTTCCTTTCCAAATGGACTGAAGACAGCATTATGGGATGCTGACGGTTCCCATGGTGACGAGGCAGATAAATATCGAGCCAAATATTACTGAAAATGTTTTTCTGCCCACATTATCATTTTATAAAACTTCTTATTGTAACTTTTATAGTTTCAATCTAAATCATTTCTGAGCTCTGAGGAAAATTTTGATCATATTTATTATCTATTATGAATGTTTTCTTTTCTTCTGTTGTTAAGATTAATTTAAAAGAGAAATAAAATAAACTTCCTGAAGAAATTTAACGGGGCCTGCCAAAGTGTGCCCGTCGGTTTGTACCCAGTGTTCTGATGCTAAACATTAGCATCCATGCTAACGAAAGCTGCAATGTCATTAATAGCACGTGGATAGTCACAAGCATGAATTACTGAACATGGGTAATAAGTAAAGGAAACAGCTAATACCTCATTTAAGGTAAAAGGCTAATGCTAATGCTCTGCCTTTATGCGCAAGGCAGACCCCTAACATGAGAGAAAAAGATCATGCAGGATAATCTTATTGCACTTTCTATGGCAGTGCAAAAGTGGGGAACAGTGAATGCTAATGTTTGTGCTAATGCTAATGCCCTAACTTGAGACGAAAAGATAAAGCAAGCTAATATCATTGCAGCGCCTATGGCGCTGCATTAGCCACAGGCGGATCTTAAGACTTTTATTTTGAAATTTTCATTGAGCTTCATTTTAAATGGCCAATCTAATCCCATGTAACAGTGATTTGGTAAAATCAGACATATAATGGTCAAAAGAGCACTTAATTAATGGAAAAATTGTCAAGGCTTTTATTTTGAAATTTTTTAAAAGCTTAATTTAAAATTTCCACACTAATTCCATGTGTAACAGTGGTTGGTTAAAAAGAGTTATAAAAGGCCCAAAACACAAGCAGTTCTAAAGTCCAGCTTTTTTGTCTGAGTTCTGCCATAGTTAGAACTACAGTGATGCGTTTTTGTAGTCCTAATCAGCTGGCCCTGCTGTGTTCCGTTGCTATGGTAATGGATCCTCTGCCAACTGTGAGTCAGACAGGGGGAGACATAATTCTATCAGTTTGAGGCAGCCATTTTCATTAAAATAGGCATGAGCCAGAAAGGAGTCTTAAGGCTTTTATTTTGAAATTTTCAGTAAGCCTCATTTTAGCTGTCCAAAATAATCCAAGTGTAACAGTGCTTTTGTTAAAAAAAGTAACATAATCCCCAAGAGAGCAATTATGTTATATAAAAGAATTTCAGGGCTTTTATTTTGAAATTTTAATTCAACTTAATTTAAAATTAACACTAACCCCTGTGTGTAACAATGGTTGGATAAAATCAGTTATAAAATGCCCAAAACAAAAGTAGTTCTACACCTTCCTCATAATAAAAACTACAGTGATGCGTTTTTGTAGTCCTAACCACTGGCCCTGCTGTGCTCCATTTTCACGAGACGCGAAGACGCTGCGACTCCCTGCAGACACGAACGTGTGACCGACCCGCCCAGAGTCACACCACACTAACTAAACTCACAGCTGGATCCTCTGCCAGCTGTGAGTCAGACAGGGGGAGACAGAATTCTATCGGTTTGAGGCAGCCATTTTGACTAAAATAGGCATGAGCCCAAAAGGCATCTTAAGGCTTTTATTTTGAAATTTTCAGTAAGACTGGTTTAAAATGTCCATCTAATCACATGACTAACAGTGATTGTGTTAAATAAGTTATAAAATGCCCCAAAAGTCAATTGATAAAAAAATGTCAAGGCTTTAATTTTGAAATTTTAATTAAACTTAATTTCATTAAGATTAATTAAACTTAATTAACACTAATCCCATGTAACAATGGTTGGTTAAAATCAGTTATAAAATGCCCAAAACACAAGTAGTTCTAAAGGCCAGCTCTTTCCTCAGAGCTCTGCCACAGTAAAAACTACAGTGATGCGTTTTTGTAGTTCTAATTTATAATTCTAAATTCCAGCTCCTTCCTCAAGCTCTGCCACAGTAAAACTACAGTGATGCGTTTTTGTAGTTCTAATTTATAATTCTAAATTCCAGCTCCTTCCTCAGAGCTCTGCCACAGTAAAAACTACAGTGATGCGTTTTGTAGTTCTAATTTATAATTCTAAATTCCAGCTCCTTCCTCAGAGCTCTGCCACAGTAAAAACTACAGTGATGCGTTTTTGTAGTTCTAATTAGCTGCTCGGCCCTGCTGTGCTTCGTTGCTATGGTAATTAATCCTCTGCAACTGTCATGTGTGTGAGACAGAAGATTTCTATCTTTGTGAGACACCCAGTCAGTTTTCACTGAAAAAAGCGGTCCGAACAACTCCTTCCCATTCGGAAACCGTGATACGTATCGGAAAACCGTTTGAAGCGTATGAGAGGGCTATCTTTCGTCTCCGATAGTCCCGCGATTCATATCTGTACATCATTCACAGTAATAACAGCGACGAGATAAAAATGGTGTGCGCTGAGGTCTGACATTTTTCAGAAATACATGGAAGTGATCCTGGCTGAGCGAGTCGAAATCCTGTCGCATCACTTTGCTCTGAAGCACCTTGACAGAAAACCGTAAGCCCTAGAAAAATTTGAAAACATTTTACCGGAGCAGGCATGCGTATCTATGTCATGACCGAGTTTGATACCGATAGGGCTATATTTGTGGTCGTGACGGCGATTTCAAAATTTATTTGGGGTCAGAATCGCAGTGCTTCCCACACTCTAACGAATCGTTGATTACACTCTAGTTTGGGCAGTTTCTAACTGAAGAAAAATTTTTGATGGTTTTTCGCTTTTTACTTTTTCATCGTAACTCTGAATCCCACCAAAAGTAATAGCTCCAATGCCGGCGCCGAGCCGCACGTTTTGATACCACTTTTGTGGGTGGGCTCGCAGCGGTACGAGCCGCATTAACGGTCACGGATGAAGAAGTTATAACTAGAAAATTCCTGAAGAAATTTAACCGGGGCCTGCCAAAGTGTGCCCGTCGGTTTGGACCCAGCATTCTGATGCTAAACATTAGCATCCATGCTAAAGAAAGCTGCAATGTCATCAATAGCACGTGGATAGTCACAAGCATGAATTATTGAATATGGGTAATAAGTAAAGGAAACGCAGATACCTCATTTAAGGTAAAAGGCTAATGCTAATGCTCTGCATTGCTGTGCAAGGCAGAGCCCTAACCTCAGAGAAAAAGATCATGCAGGATAATCTTATTGCACTGCCTATGGCAGTGCACTAGTGGGGAACAGTGAAATGCTAATGTTTGTGCTAATGCTAATGCACTATCTTGCTGTGCAAGACAGTGCCGTAACTTGAGACGAAAAGATAAAGCAAGCTAATATCATTGCAGCGTCTGCAGCGCTGCATCAGCCACAGACGAATCTTAAGACTTTTATTTTGAAATTTTCATTGAGCTTCATTTTAAATGGCCAATCTAATCCCATGTGTAGCGATTTTTTGGTAAAATCAGACATAAAATGGTCAAAAGAGCACTTAATTGATGGAAAAATTGTCAAGGCTTTCATTTTGAATTTTTTAAAAGCTTAATTTAAAATTTCCACACTAATTCCATGTGTAACAGTGGTTGGTTAAAAAGAGTTATAGAAGGCCAAAACACAAGCAGTTCTAAAGTCCAGCCTTTTCCTCCGAGTTCTGCAATAGTTAGAACTACAGTGATGCGTTTTTGTAGTCCTAACCAGGCCCTGCTGTTCCATTGCTATGGTAATGGATCCTCTGCAGGCTGTGAGTCAGACAGGGGGAGACTTAATTCTATCAGTTTGAGGCAGCCATTTTCACTAAAATATGCATGAGCCAGAAAGGAAACTTAAGGCTTTTATTTTGAAATTTTCAGTAAGCTTCATTTTAACTGTCCAAAATAATCCAAAGTGTAACAGTGGTTTTGTTAAAAAAGTCACATAATCCCCAAGAGAGCAATTCCATAATATAAAAGAATGTCAGGGCTTTTATTTTGAAATTTTAATTGAACTTAATTTAAAATTACCACTCTAATCTAATGGTTGGATAAAATCAGTTATAAAATGCCCAAAACACAAGTAGTTCTAAAGGCCAACTGCTTCCTCAGAGCTCTGCCACAGTAAAAACTACAGTGATGCGTATTTGTAGTCCAAACCACTGGCCCTGCTGTGCTCCATTGCTATGGTAATGGATCCTCTGCCAGCTGTGAGTCAGACAGGGGGAGACAGAATTCTCTCAGTTTGTGGCAGCCATTTTGACTAAAATAGGCATGAGCCAGAAAGGAACCTTAAGGCTTTTATTTTGAAATTTTCATTTTAAATGTCCAAAATAATCCAAAGTTTAACAGTGGTTTATTTAAAAAAGTCACATAATGCCAAGAGAACAATTACATAATATAA